GTCTAACGACTTTACTAGACTTTAATTCATTTGTCACCAGATGACTGGAAGCGTCATGGGTCTCTCACTTGATTGGCTTAGGTTAAAGAATTATGATGTAATAAGTATAATTTTGGATCAACAGAAATAATAATATACTGATTGCAGATCAGCCATCGTGTTCGAAAACATTTAAGCTACCTGAGAATTTATACACCTATAGATAATCGTTGATCAATTTATTCAAATTAATCTTTAATTGGACAGTTTTAAAACATTGAAGGGTTTAAGCATGACTGAGCAATGCCCAATTACAACAGACTGACGATATAATCGGTGAGTAACAGAACTACGTGCCATACAATTTTCAACACATTCCCCTGACAGAAAAACTGGACGAGGCTATTAGCCGAGTCCAATTCCGGCTTTCCTCAACTCCTTTTTTTAACTGATTATCCCCGGATTGGTCTGCATATAGTCCTATTACACACACAACTAGCCAATTGTCCAAATATCGCAGGATATTTGTGAAAGCACGCGTTATTAGTATTTCTTTTCCACTCATATCAGTTGGATAGTAATATCTAATGATGAGTAGCCAAGGTATAAAAGTCACTGCGTCTTTTGGTTCAACGTTTAATTTGAAAACTTCAATAATTTTTCCATTTGAAGGTTTGTATACATCTATACTAGGGACATAACCACAACATGACATACATACCAAAACAACAAATTGGTTGTGCTTCTGCCAATGTTATTGCAAGACGCAGTACTGACCGCACGAGATTGGTAGCAACGGAACATTACAAACATATCTACGTAAAGATTAACAGAACCTTTCTCTATTTTTCTCTTTATTTCTGTCATTTGGTCTTTATTTCATAAGAGTACAGTCATTTTTACAAAATTCAAGGTATCAACAGATGTTAGCAAACGAGACTCCAAGCGCGACGCTCAACGATTTTGTCTGAAAACCCCCGAAATTATTTGAAGAGTCTTTGTGAACACGTAACGCCGCATGATACCAGCCATGAACTGTTATTGTTGTTGTTGTTGTTGTTTTTCATGTATTTATTCCATTTAAAACCATCTGTAACCATTTTTAATTCCATTTGTAACCGAGGGGAAGAGAAATTGGTTAACTTAAACTCCCAGAAGTAATTACTATGCAAGTTATCCCTAAAATATGTATACATTATCCAGCAAACAGGTAATGAGAATACTCCGACTTATCAGGTACAAATTCGAAGTTGTTATGTCAATCGAACATCGAGTTATTGTATTTACTTTCCAAAGAAATATGTAGCACTTAGAGGTGAGAGGTGACAATCAGACCTTGGGAGCTAAAGAGTTTACCTTCCCCCACCCCACCCCTGTTTGCCTATCATCTTTCCTTAGAGCTAGTCAACTAATAGCTTTTACTAAAAACTAGATCATTGGATAATGCAATTCAAGACTTCTTGTTGGCTTAGCCATTATGGTATATCAGCCAATATACCATAATCTACAAATACGGCAAGCCTACGTGTCAGCTTAAAATTAAAAGAGAGCTAAAAATTTAATTAAATTCAATAATTTAATTTAACGTTTTTGATAAAACAATTATTCCACTCACGCTGGTTGGATATGAGATGATTATAGCCAGCTCGGGGCTACGCACCTCGTTGGCTATCTATCATCTCATATCCAACGCGCGCTTGTGGAACTTGTTAAATATTTGAACAATCACGCGATTTTCGTCTTGAAAAAGGATAAAAATAATGAGAAAAAAATAACCAAGTAAGCATTTTGCTTAAAAAAAATACACAGAACGAAAAATAATGAAGGAAAACAATCAAAATAATAATTATAATTATAAAACAAACAATTGGAGACACTTTGCAATTCTAAAACAGAAACAAACGGTGGGTGTATATACTTAAATTGATCAACAGAGATAACAATATTCTGAATGCCGATCAGCCGTGGTCTTTAAAAACATTAAAATAACATGATGTCTATCCATCTATCGGTTATTATAATTTATTTTGTTAGAACGTTTGTCAATATTTTATCAGATTTATCATCATCGTCATTACCGCAATTATTACCACCATTCTCGCCTTTTCTATCCTAATAGAACAGTCCTAACCATGCGCGTAATTATCTATTTTCACGGGAAATATTTAGAAATATTTAGCGTCTAATGTAATTTCTTATTTAAAACGCCTTCAACGTTTCATGCGTAAGGGCGCTGTCACAAGCTCTCTTCTAGCCATAAGATTTCTCAGAAACTGTCCATGTGCGTAGCTGTAAGTTTTCCAAAGTCCTGGATTAAATATTATTACAGAACAAAGTGGTAATAAAATTCTAGTTCCATAAAACTGTTTATTCAGAAGTTAATTTAGTCCTCCAGACGGTTGCAACCCACAATCTTCGTGTCCTCTTATTGGCTCGATTCGAATTTAGGTCATCGACATAAATGATTATTGGATTCTGAAATACATCCTTATGCAAAGTAAACAGAACAGTTTTCCTTTTTGTCCGCTTATGTCATCACGGAACGAATATTTATATTCAGCGACTTTCGACATTGTTTAGTGAGGATCTATTCATTCTCAGAGAAACATCCTTGATAAAGGTAGTCGTTATTTATTTATTTTGGTTCCGTTTGAAGCATTGAGAACATTGTTACTAGTTTTATAATTCGGCTCTTAACCTGCCGATGATATGCCGCGCATAATTAATCGTCGCCGATGATCATAATTTGTTTATTTTGATTCTGAGCAAGTTTTGCCCGTCGTTTTGCTCCTTTGTTTCGTTGTTGAATAAATATTTTAAGCTGATTGTTTTTAAGCTTTTTAAGCGCTCTCTAGTATCATACAGGTACTGATTGTAATTGTGACCACGAAACAGCTTTGACAAGCTTAATATTAATGTTGTATTAATAACATTTCTACGTATATTAAGCAAGTTTGGGTGAATGTCTTTTTTAGGGTACTTTGCTTCTGTATGTTTCATTTTTGATTAATGCTAGTAAAATGAGCGTTGCTTCTATGGACTTCTTTAATCTTAGATTGAAGTGGTCGACTGTTTTTGAATTATATTCGAACGCTCACTTGTTTCTCCTCTTGAAAAAAAAAGGAAACAACTGATGCATTTCATCTTTAAACAGTTCATTAGAAAGGAAGAGAATCAAAACTAAAAAAAAAAGGAAAAGAGAGCAAAAAAATCATAGGAATGAAAAGTTTGTAAACCATTTGGCTGCACCTCGTGTTACACGAAACTTTCTGGTATTCTTCCAACATACCGCGTGGTCTATTACCGCTGTTCAGTTTTTAGCTGGTAGCGCCCGCAGGCGGGAAGAAGCGATCCTGTGCTCTGATTGGCTACCATTACAAGCAACATGGACCCATCTTGCTCGCTGAAGATTGCCCGCTTCTATCCTGTGCAAGAAAAACAGTGCGGGGAGTGGACTAAAAAAGTTCGTAGCTTTTGCACAATGTCAGCAACAAAGGGGAAGACAGTCAAAACATGACAATTGTGAAAACATTAGTTTAGAAAGACAAGGTTTTTCTCTCCAATTTAATTACTTCCTGGTAGAATTCTCGACCACCAACACTAGTCCCCTCTACTTTCTCCACTACGCCTGCCTCCTTTTGTTCTTGAATGATCTCTTCATATGCAGTTGTCAGGTTCTGGCGTTTGAGCTTTCTGTGTAAACTTGAGAGTCGTCGCAAGCTTCCTTCTCTGTTGTTTGGTAGAACTGGATGATCTCCTCGCCAGGGGATACCAGTTTCGTACCACCTTGCCTCATCTGGAGTAAGTTGCTCTTGGAATTCAGAGTAAACATTTCCTTAATCATTCGTGGGTGTGTCTGAGAGGCCAAGCACATCCAAGCGGCAAAGTTCTTCATCATCTACGTGTGAGGTCTGCGCCAATAACATGTTTATTATGTCCAGAGGTTCTTTTACTGGGGACATGATGATCCAGCCGAATTTCGTCAGCTCAGCAACAGGCTTACTAGGTTCGCCGATTTTCGGTGCACTCTCGGTCTTCAATTTTGCTCATTCTCCGGCACCGAGAATACGATGCACTGGGAGTCGACTCTCCTTGTCTTGATTGGTCATAACGACTGCTGACAGATGTGGGTTCTTGGTGATGATTTCTTCATAATTAGGATTGTCAAGGAAAAGTAGTTCCCCTTTGTCCACTTTCGTAACTTCCACAGGCATCGTCAATTTTCCACTCACGTCCCCAATCTCGATTGTAAGCAGTTCTACTTCTCGGGTTTACGTCCCTAACAGCATCTCTATTTTCCTGACCTCCTTGGCACGTTTTCTCGTGGGGATGCGGTTTAACAGCGCTGCAGATGCGTAAGAGCTTCCTGCGCCCGTATCCAACAGTGCTCTACATTTCACACCTTCTACCTCTACAACAACTACAGGATATGTCACGCGCGCGTTTGGCATTCCAGCGGCGACAAGGAGAGGATTGAACTCGTTTTCGCGGGCGTTACAAATGGACGTGTGATGTTTCCGACTGCATTTCTGGCATCGCAATCTACTCTTACATTCATCCGCGCGATGCTTTCCGCCGGTGCAGTTAAAGCACAGTCTTTTCTCCGCGAGTATTCTGCGCCTTTTCCCCGTCTCGGTGACCTTTGTGCAATTGACTGATCGATGATTTTGATCTTCGCAGTAACCACACCGCTGGTTTCCGGTTCGCGTTTCTTGCTGTGAGTGGGTTTTGAATACACTCGTGGGCGTCGTTTGTTTTGAGTGTGAAACTCCTTTACTCGGGATCTTTTCTGCCGTGCTTTCCTCGACAGGACTGATGTCTGACCATTTTTTTAGTTCCCTCAAGAGATCCTTAAAATCCCAGTCTCTCCAGCCTTCATTCCCACGTACCAGATCAGCTTTGACCCCTCTCAATTTTTCTAAAGTAGACCGCACATTCCCTCTAACATCCCCGAACCGTTCAAGCGTATCCAAGCTTTGAACATTGTAGCGAAGTTGCTTGTAGAATTCCTTCACCTTCTTCGGATTTCCTCCAGTGATAACCGGCAGTTCCATTATGTTTTTCATATACACATTTACGATATCTGCCTGTTGGCCATATTCTGCTTCAAGAATTGCTCTAGCGCTGTCGCATCCCTCATCTGTGAAAGGCAGTCCCTCAATATCATTTCTCACGTGCTTTTCGAGGAGCTCCTTCAAGAACACAAATTTAGTAAGCCTCGCCAGGTTTGAGGAGTCTATTTCAGACTTGAATTTTCCCCAGAGGGGTAGCCAATCTCTAACTCTACCACTGAACTTGGTGATCGATAACTTTGTTAGTTTCGCCGCTACAGATGAGTTTTGTTGTCCGGATTCAAGTGCGGCTACTTTTTCGTCTTCGCGTGCTGTCTCGAATTCTGCTCTTTGCTCCAGTAGTTGCCTTTCAAACTTCATGTTCTTGTTGTGTTTTTCTATCGCTTCTTGCTCCTGCTCTTCTAGGTCTACGGCTTTTATCGCGTCTTGAATTCTTTTTGTCGTGTTATCGGCTATCTTAAGGTCGTCTTCAATTCCTTTACCCCATAGAGCGATTTCTTCTTCGCTCTCGCCCTTGCTTATTTTTCCCTCTTCGATTGTTAACTTTAATTCATCCACCGCACTCACAATACTCGTTATTGATGACCGAGGTCGCTCCAAAGCTTGTCGGTCTCGTTTCAGGATGATTTCGTCTGTTCTAGTGATCTTCAGCTTGAGTAGCTTGATTTTGTTGTCCAATTCTGTCATCTCCTTCCTCATGATTACAATTTCTTTGGTTCTTTGTTCTTGCTCGAGAGCTCTCGCTGGTTAAAAAAGAAACCTGTCCCGTCGGAGGTGCCACTTGTGTCGTAAACTGATTTAATTGGAACAACAAACTCTCTCGCTTACAAAGATTATTCATGACTGAAGATCAGTAGTCTTGACTGCTAACAATTTTTCTCTCAGCAATGTGAAAACTACTTCCGTTGTAGTACACATTAGGTGAAACATGCCGATCTTAATAACGCGTTCTCCTATTTCTTGACGACATTGTACAAATCCCGACAGATTCTTCTCATCATTTCCTAGTAACTTGTAGAGCCGGTCAGTTTGCTTGTGCAAATCAAGAAAAGTGTATATGGGAGAGTTGGCGTTGTGATGGCGACCGTGACTGTTCTGATGGTTCAGATGAACAATGCAGTGAGTAGTGTAGTTGATTGGGTTACTTCAACTCCTGTCCAGTCTTGTACATTTGTTGCGAGTTGAGCATTTTCCACTCTGAGATTGAGACTTGGAAGGTATATGAACCCTCTTCAAATGGTGTTGCAGCTACTTTTCCCTTTTTTTTAAAAGAGAAGAAAGAAATAAAATACTAACTTCATTTATAAGAACAGCTCCAAAGCAGCGAAATAAAGCTTTGACGTAAGTTGTATGCAGTACATTTTAACGATGTTGAACTGGCTATTTTTTTACTTCTATCACGTTCGTCCATCTCTGGATAAAGATTTTCAATGATTTTTAAAGCGATTCTTGTGATAGCTACAGTCTCCTGAACAGCGAATGAAATAAGCTGTTTTAATGAGGTAGAAATGACTTTATTTGCGAGACACCGTTTCGGTGAAAAAAAAGAATGCATCTAATAGGAGCCCAGAAACGGTGGTTTGTACCATGCAAGGTAGAATGCTGGATTTATATCCAATATACTAGGAGGTTTCTTGAAGATACAGCCTCTTTAAAAAGAATTATCATAGGAAATGAAGTCCCCTTCTGACATTACCCTTATTGACTATGAAAATTGACCATAAAAAAAGCGAACGCACAAGCGGTCACAACACAAGTCATACCTAAAGTTTACTACAGTGGTATCGTGATCTTAGGAATTTTGTGGTTGAGCTTGGGACTTGAGTATTTAGGGAAAAGTTTCAAAGGTACCGGTAAATAACGTACAGAAAGCAGAAATGAGTATGGCGGAGACTTTAGGTGAAAAAATCTTATCTAATATTAGCATAGAGATGAGTTATCTGGAAAATATAGATTTGAAAAAAAAATTCAAAAATCTGATTTCATTGATTTATTTTAAAACAGGACAAAAGATTGGTTGAGTTCAAAGTAAAACCAATTCCAATGCCAAGACTACAAAAATCTGTTCAACAAATGGTTCAAGAATAATGAGAAAAAGAATGTGGTACCTCCTATTCCAAAACCTTAGAACCATTAAAAATGTTTCACCTGTTCCAAAACCTAGTACTAATATTACAATGAAGGATATAGCACTAAGGGAATTTACTAAATCATTTAAAATCAGTATTTGTAATACTAATAATGGCTTTGAAACAGTTGAAAGAAACAAGGAAATTGATTTTTCATAATTATGTTAAGAAGTCAATTATTGGAAACGAAAGGTCTTAAATTTGTTGAGACTTTAAAATTACATTTTGGAAAATGGAAGGTGGTGAAGATGAATTTCAAAGTGCACTTTTAAATTCATCTTCAAAAGCTATAATTAGTGACAGAGGCTGATCTTAAGAGAGTACTTGAAAGTTCAAGCTCTGAACTTCTTAATATTATTGGTAATTGGATTTCTAAAGGATCTGGATAAACAATAGATAGAGTTGATTAAGATTTTATAAATACTGTTAAATAAAGGCTAATGAACAGGCCTTCATATATGCAACTTCCAAGTGAATTAGTACTTACAAAGACTTTGATAAAATAATTTGAAGAATGAAAATAATGAATGTTTTATATGGTGCCATGTGAGGCAGCTCGATCGGCAGCAGAATAATCCAGAAAGAATGAGAAAGACAGACAAAATTAATGGTTTGTTGATAAATTGGATTACTCAGGTGTTGATTTTCAAGTTCACTGAAACACTACAATAATAACATTGAAAAACAGAATTACATCAGAATTGATATTTTCGGTTATGAATATAAGGCAATCGGTATAATTGTCTTAAACGAAACATTTGAGAATGAAATGAGCCTATTTATAATTGATAAGTTATGATAACAAGAGCCATTATGCATTGATAAAAGTTTTCAACAAGATGATGAGGCATAGAACCAGGCATGAGGTAAAATTTTTGCATGTATCATCCACAGTGTTTTAGTAGTGAAGATAATATTAAGTAAACATATAGATATTGTATTGCTGTAAAAAGATTGTATTGATATAAATGGAAAGCAAAATATAAAAATGCCAGAAAAGGGTGAAAAAGTTTTCTTTAAGTCTATACAGACAGATTCCACTTCCATTTTGCATTTATGCTGATTTTGAGGCCAAGGTGACTGTTTATTCTTACGACTACATGGACAGCTTTGAAAAATTTGAAGAAACACAGCTGCCACCAAAAGAAGAATTTTACTGACAGTTAATTGTGACTGGTGAGCACATAACAGATGAAGAATATGAACATGCTCAAAATGTTTGAAAGACATTGAAATTGAAAAATATGGGTGAATATCACAATTTGTATCTGCAAAGTGATACATTGTTGTTGGCTGATGTGTTTGAAATTTTCAGAAAGACGTGTTTGCAATATTACAAACTTCAGATCCTTGTCATTATTTTCCAAGTCCTCGTCTTAGGTGGGATGCAATGTTTAAAATGGCTGGCATCAAACTTGAACTCATAACAGATGTTAACAAATCTTATTCATTGAAAAAGGCTTTAGAGGTGGACTCAGTTGTATTTCCAACAGATATTCACATGCAAATAACAAGTACCGGTACATGAAAGACTATGATAAAAGCAAACCATCAAAATATATTATGTATTTGGGTGTAACCTATCTATATGCTTGCAGGGCAATGATTGTTGCAATATCTTCCAAAAGGAAATTTCAGATGGCCAAGTCAGAAAAAGATTGATAGTTTTGATTTGAATAAAATTAATATACAAATTATGAAAGGGAAAGAGGATTGAGGTTAGAGGTTGACTTGGAATACCCAAAAGAATTGGAAGAATCAATTGCATAATGATTATACCCTGTGACTGCTGAGAAAATTAAAGTAAAGAAAGAATATGCTCTCAGATTATTGTAAGAACATTCAACAAAAATATAATATATAGGGCAAGTACAGAAGTTAATTCCCACGTTAGCTGACAAAGAAAAGTATTAGTTGCATTACAGAACCTTGCAGCTTTATCTTAAATTCGGATTAAAGTTATGGAAAGTACATAGAGTCCTTCAGTTTGATCAAAGTCCAATTGGCTCAGACAATACATAGATTTTATCCATTATTTCTTGCAAATCAACAATCTTTTCTTGGTGCTGATTTGGTGTGTACAGATATATTTTATCATTATGACAATAAACCAATACATTATGCATCGGAACAATTGTTTTGCTGCAACCACTTTGATCACAAACAAGTAGTTGGTATTCTGTATTCTTCACCTATGAAATCATTGAAGGCTCTTGTTTTTTGTTTGATTTCTTTTCATAGTCAGACTAAAATAAACACATTTTATATAATTAAATTAAATCGCTCAGTTAATATAAAACAGAAAACAGCCGAGCAAAAACCACAGACATGAGAAAAGCTGGAGCAAATTGTCAGAAATTATAATGATCAAATAGTTAAATCACAGTTTGCAAGCAGACAGTTTCTCAAACCTGTTATAGAAAGTCAAACGGAATTGAAAAAGTCAATTGATGAAAAACAAGACAGATTGATTCATTTTGGTGAATCAAAGGAAAATCAGTCTGCAGTAAGAAAAGGTGTCAAGGTCAATTACACGTTACGGACGTGACATTGAGAGGCGTAATTTGGTTATTAAATGTCTGCTAAAGTCAGATCCACACTATTTGAATTGAAATGAGTCGTTTCATAAAATTACCCCTGAAGTACCTTTTATTTTGCCAGAAAACATTTTGACTATCTCTTAGAGATCCAGAAAAAATTACTTTTTTAAAGTGTGTTGCGGATGTGACTCCTAAAACAACCATTGATTTGAATTGGTTTTGCTTACTTCAAATTTCCTGTGAATTGAAAACCTTTTAAAAAAACTGCATATGCTAACTAAATGTAAGAGTAATTGTGCTTCATAAATCTGTAAAGATAGTATAGAAATTACTTGTTACCATGGATTTATTAACAAAAATGTTGTGTTGCGGACGTGACCAAAATTTGTTGCAAACATGACATTTTGGGGATGTCAGGAAAGAGCTTTTCATTCACCCCTAATAACGTCCAGAGTAATATGCCACTGAAGTAAAAATGCTATTTTTATTACTTTTATCTGTAAATTGGGAAATAAATAACAAATAGTATATATAAAGAATAAAAATTTTGTGTTGTACACATGACCAAAATTTGTTGCGGAGGTGACATTTTGGGGATTTTCAAGAAAGAGCTTTTCATTCACCACTAATGACAATCAGAGTAATGCCACTGAAGTAAAAATGCTGTTTTTATTGTTTTTATCTGTAAATTGGGGAATAAATAACAAATAAAATATAAAAACTCTGATGATCTAGGTCATTTTGTACGTCAAAGGGCATTTATATATTTTTGGAAAATTGTAAAAAAGTGATAGCCTTACACATATCATAATATGTCATGTTTGAAAATTTTATGAGGTTTTCTGGGTTTTTTACAAATGTGTCATGTCTGCAAAGGTCACGTCCGCAACCTGATATCTCTTAAATAGTTGACAAATTTGAGCAAGCTGGGGTGTCAAAATTATCATAATACTTGACAATAAGAGCAGCATAAATAAGACCTGAAACAGTTCAGAACCTACATAGAAATTAATCTATGCTCTAAATCATA